TCTTTCTCCGTAATAAAATCAGTCTCCTTTGTCCGTGGATGTAGCCAACGCATCGTTGGTTGACCACGTTAAATCTGTGTGTGATCTTTACGTTTACTGTTTTCTTCTTGCATCCGTTACAACAAATTATGTAATATATAAGATTATGTGATTTTTCCTTGGATGATATTCTGAAAATATCAAGTGCTACAGGGAAAACTCAACGATGGACTGTGAAGCAATTGTCAGTTGCTTCCAGGCAAGGCAAGGATCAATTTGTTGCGGAGATTGCAACTATATCAGCTGTTCAGCATCGTAACCTTGTAAAACTGTATGGATGTTGCATTGAGGACAATCAGCGTTTTCTTGTATATGAATACCTCTCAAACAAAAGTCTAGATCAAGCTAGCTCGATTTGGTATGCTCATGAACATCTTAAATATTGAAAGATGTTCTTCTTATGTTTCTGTAAATGACAGCTTTTGACTTACACTTTTCATGACAATTGTTGCAGACGGAAAGAGTTTGCAACTTAGTTGGTCAGACCGTTTTGGGATATGCTTGGGAATAGCCAAAGGTTTAGCATATATGCATGAAGAGTCAAGGCTACGTATAGTGCATAGGGATGTGAAGGCAAGCAATATTCTTCTCGAATCGGATCTGATTCCAAAAATCTCTGATTTCGGGTTGGCCAAACTATATGATGACAATAAGACGCAAATGACTAACCGAGTAGCTGGAACCATGTAAATATCTTTTTGGTTTGCAGAACGATTCTGTTTGTGATGTAGAGATATATTTGAAAATATTCCAAATATCTTAATTATTTATTTATTTATTTAGATAATTTATTATAAATAAGCCGTTTAGGTTTAAGTTGTATTCAGTTTTTGATTAATTAATGAAATTGAGCTTTTCTCTCTTTGTTTCTTGTTTTCAGTAGATCTAGAGAGATCTCAACGAGTTTAAGAAGGCTTGATTTATTCGGGTATTCTCAGACTAAACGAATAATATCACGATTATCATAGTTTTCCGAGTATTCTCAGAATCAACGGATCACTATTCTATCTTTTTAAAGCTTCTGCTACATCAGAATCAACGAATGATGTAGAGAGATATTTGGAAATATTCCAAATATCTTAATTATTTATTTCTTTATTTAGATAATTTCCTTTTATTATTTTAGGGTTTTCTAGTATTTTGGATTTATTATAAATAAGCCGTTTAGGCTTAAGTTGTATTCAGTTTTTGAGTAATTAATGAAATTGAGCTTTTGTCTCTTTGTTCCTTGTTTTTGGTAGATCTAGAGAGATCTCAATGAATTTAAGAAGACTTGATTTATTCGGGTATTTTCAGTCTAAACGAATAATCTCGCGATTATCATAGTTTTCCGGATATTCTCAGAATCAGTGGATCAATATTATCTTTTTTTAAAGCTTCCGCTACATCAATTGGTATCAGAGCCAGTACTTTGATTTCTCAATCAAGGTTCGATTCTGTTTCCATCACCATGACAGTTGAAGGTTTGAATTACTTTACGGATACATATCCGTTTGTTATATCCGAAGGTTTGTGTGAAGATCTCAGAGAAATTTGTGGCGATCCAATTTTTGATGTTTCTGATGAAGAAGGTTTATTCAAAAAGAAAATAGAAGTGTTATTCCTTGTTAAAGATAAGAAAAACGTGAGTCCTAATAACGTTTTTCCTCAAAGTGTGATAATTCCATTGGAAGAAAGCCACGATGTCTCCCAAAAAATCAACAGAAAAATCAAAGATGTGTGTGAGGGCGTTAAGAAAAAGAGCCTAAGGGTTTCAAATCAAGAATATAACGTGGAGCATATAAGCAAAAAAGTCCAACTCATTAAGTGGCGTCTTGTTGATCACTATTGGACGAGCAAAATCCTTAAAGTGGAACAAATTAATATTCTTTTATTTGAAGAATATTATTGGAGGAAGGTTAGAAAAAAAAAAGAAGTGACTGAATTCAAGAAGACAGAATTTTTGGAATTGAAGATTACGGCTAAGATTCAAGGACGAATCTTTTTGTCGTCGGAGAGAATGATGTAGAGAGATATTTGGAAATATTTCAAATATCTTAATATTTTATTTATTTATTTAGATAATTTCCTTTTATTATTTTAGGGTTTTCTAGTGTTTTGGATTTATTATAAATAAGCTGTTTAGGCTTAAGTTGTATTCATTTTTTGATTAATTAATGAAATTGAGATTTTGTCTATTTGTTTTTTGTTTTCGGTAGATCTAGAGAGATCTCAACGAATTTAAGAAGGCTTGATTTATTCGGGTATTCTCAGACTAAACGAATAATCTCGCGATTATCATAGTTTTCCGGGTATTTTCAGAATCAACGGATCACTATTATATCTTTTTAAAGCTTCCGCTACATCAGTAAGCTTCCGCTAGTGTTTTGGATTTATTATAAATAAGCCGTTTAGGCTTAAGTTGTATTCTGTTTTTGATTAATTAATGAAATTGGGCTTTTGTCTCTTTGTTCCTTGTTTTCGGTAGATCTAGAGAGATCTCAACGATGTAGAGAGATATTTAGAAATATTTCAAATATCTTAATATTTTATTTTTTTATTTAAATTATTCCTTTTATTATTTTAGAGTTTTCTAGTGTTTTGGATTTATTATAAATAAGCCGTTTAGGCTTAAGTTGTATTCAATTTTTGATAAATTAATGAAATTGAGCTTTTGTCTCTTTGTTCCTTGTTTTCGGTAGATCTACAAAGATCTCAATGAATTTAAGAAAGCTTGTTTTATTTGGGTATTCTCAAACTAAACGAATAATCTCGCAATTATCACATTTTTTCTGGGTATTCTCAGTATCAATGGATCATTATTTTATTTTTTTAAAAGCTTCCGCTACATCAGTTTGTCTTCTGAAAAACTCTTTATTTTTAGTTACCGTTGTTTGATGTAACAATGTAGTGGATATCTTTCACCAGAGTACGCCATGCTTGGACACTTGACTGAGAAGACGGATGTGTTTGCCTTTGGTATTGTGGCTCTGGAAATTGTCAGTGGGAGGCCAAACTCTTCACCAGACTTGGATGATGACCAAAAATGCCTTCTCGAATGGGTATTATATCCTATAGTATGTTTTGGAAATCTTATTTGGTGAAGCTTTAGTCTCTCTTTTTTATCTAATCTTCCAGGCATGGAGCCTACACCAAAAGAATAGTTATGTGGAGCTAGTAGATCCGGATCTAACCGTATTTGACGAGGAAGAAGTGAAACGTGTAGTCTGTGTGGCCTTCTTATGCACACAAACAGATACAACAAATGCGACCAATGATGTCAAAAGTGGTAGGAATGTTGACAGGTACTGTGGAGGTAAATGAAGCTTTTGTAAAGCCAGGCTATTATGTCTCAGAGAGAACATTCGAGAATGACATGAGCTTCGTACAAACAAGAAAACACTCAACCTCTAGTCCACTCATATCAGACCGTCATTATTAATCTCTATCTCAATTATACGATTATGTAGCATACGAAAGTAGATTTTCGGTTCCGTAGTGTATAATGTGTATGTATGTTGTCCTGAGAGATGTCCAAAAAAAAATAAATGTTCTCTTTAGAAATCACACAGAGACTCGTTATTTATGGTTTTTCGGGGTGATTTCCAATAAGTTGGACCAACACAATTTGTTAGTTGGATATTGTGATAACGAAAAGCTAGAGAAGGCATTGGTCATATTTGACTATATGCAAAAGGGTGGAATGGAACTTGATATTGTTTAGAATATGAGCATCGAAACTTTAGTAATTATATTTTTTATGAACATGATCATCCTAGGGAAAATACCATACTAAGCGTTAAGGTGATAATCCCGATATTCTTGTCATTTAAGGTGTCTATAGGTGGCCAAATTTTCCTATTTCTTGGATTAAGGAGAAGAATGTTGCGTTTCTTGTCTGTACGCATATACCTCTGTTCGCCATTATTTTAAGATTCTCGATAACGTCCACACAAATATAATGCTTGTATCCGACATGAATATTCAAGATTTGGCGTCCCAAGGTTTTAGGAAGGTGGTTCTTTTTCCCCATTGAAAGAACTCGTCCTTTTATTTGTTTTTTCGGTCCGTTGCGTTCTTTGAGTCGCTCAAGAAGACCTTGTCTTTTAAATCACTAAGAAAAAACATAAACTTTAGGGCCTTATGCGGTAGCTCCAACACTTCTCCCCCTTGTGGCGTTTAGGATTGGACGTGGAACAATGTTATTGGTAAGCGTATGGGCCATGCACAAAATGTTAGAATCCCATATCGGAAAATTAAAGGGACTAACACTAATATATAAGGGATTTGAGCCTGGTTCATTTATTGCCAATTGGTTTTTAAGTTGGAAGCCCAAGAAACTTAACATGGTATCAGAGCCTCGTTTGTTGACCCAATAAGGGTGGCCCAAAAAGGATTTATTATCGGTTTTAAAGTGAGATTCGGTTCGAGATGGGCTGATAAGAGCCATCATCTCGAGGGGGCGTGTTAGAATCTCACATCGGGAAATTAAAGGGACTAACACTAATATATAAGAGACTTGGGCCTCTCCACTTATCGCCAATTGGTTTTTAAGTTGGAAGTTCAGGAAACTTAACACAAAATTCTATATATATGGGAAGAGCCAAAAAGGTGCAGATCAAAAGTTGATTCTACTTGGGATCGGACGACCAGCTTGTCGTAGACTCCTAGGTCCAGCCGTCCAGGTTAGCTCACGGTTAGCTCGCGGTTAGCCATGAAACTGCCTCTAGGATCGTTGGTTCAATGTATCTATAGGGAGAGAATTGATAAAGAAAATGTGGATATAAAAGGAGGCATGATGCACCTAGGGACATCGATGCAGGCTATTTGTAATGCTCAACCCATGTCCAGAACATTCTCGACGGTTCCGTTTGAGATTTAAATCTCTAAATCTTGCTTAATCCCCAGAATTTACTTATTTTTATCACTAGAAAATCAAGTTCTCTGTCCTTACGTCCAATAGTGGTCGTGTTACAGAAAAATATAGAAACAGTATTACGTAGTACATGAAAGTTTATACTATTACAACATAAACATACATAACTGGTAGTCTGGTACATGTCATAAGGTCACTCAAAGAGTGACACAGACTTATTGAATGTAGACAAAAACACAAGAAAACGTAATAAACACACAAGCAGACACAGACATATTGAATGTAGATAAACACACAAGAAAACGTAATAAACACACAAGCACCAATGTTTTGGTAGATTAACATGGGACGTAGCAGATACATTTATGAGCTGGGAAGACATAATTGCAAGATCCATGTCGAGCCCCCTCAAGGTTAATGCACTGGTTCTTGCAAGCATTACTGTTTCCACAAACTCCTGACCATGTCCCACTTGGCTTCTCGCACAACTTCTGAGCTTTCACCATTGCTGGTGCTTATATATATATATATATATATATATATCATGGTTAATGACCAGTTAATCTGAAAATAAAAACAATTGGTTTTGCCATGCATATGATAAGATCATTACTCACCAAAAGCAGAAAAGAGAACAAGAGCAGCGAAGAGAAGAGCGATGAAGGAAGCCAACTTAGCCATGACTATTACTTCCTTTTGTACTGTTTGTGTGAAATGTGTGAAATGTGAAGTGTGTGGAAATAAGCCTAACATCAACCTATATTTATAGCGCAAGGCTGGTGGTTGGTCATTACTTGTGCATCGCACAATAACGTGGCAACCCCACAAATTGAACATTATTCCGTGTCTTCTAGTAGACAATATGGAAGATAAGATCTTAGCCTATTCATACTTGATGGCTGGTTTCTCCACCACATATCTTTATTACCTGCTGCCTCTTTATCTAATATAACCTAAGAGGCTGCTTTGGCTTTGAGCTAGTTCTACTTCCACTACAAGAAAACAATGGTTTTTCGACGATCCATTACGACGGATTTGAAATTGTCGTAAATTTGCGACGATTTTACGACGATTTTACGTCTAATTTAAAAACCGTCGTATAAAAAAATCGTCGTAAACTCGACGTACAATTTACGACGAATTACGACGATTATACATCGATAACGAGAGATTCGCTAGTAAATGTAAAGTCGTCGTATATTCGTCGTAATTTTGCGACGACTTTACGACGACTCTGTTTCGATGTACATATTACGACGATTGTACGTCGAAAAAGGAGTTAGGTGAAAAACATTTAAAACATGTGTACCTAACAATTGTAGATTATCGCAAAATCGTCGTAAACTTGTCGTAATATGATTGGTGAATGTAAAACCGTCGTAAAAAGTCGTCGTAAAAGCGATGTAAAGCCCGAAATTTTCCTATAAATAGATCTTCATTCCTTCATTCAATCACAACACATCATCATTCAAACATAAGAGCATCTTCATCTTGGAGACCCATTGTAGGTCTCTTAAATTTTAGTATAGTGTTGTAAATCCTTATATATTGGGTTGTCCATTGCTGAAAACCCGAATTAAGATATTACTTTGAATCAAAGAAGTAATAATATTATAAGGTTAATTTACTTCATTCACGTGGCTAGACGTGACACAAGAGACCACCTATATATAGTTATTGTCTAATCAATAAAAAGAGATATTATTTTGAGTTTATTTTCAAGATGTCTATATACGAGCTAAGAAGTTGGATGTATATGCGTAAAGATTCAGAT